TTGGTGTAGAATCACATGCGGTCTTCGATAATGTCGAATAGAATTTTCCAATGTTTCGTATATGAGCGTCTACTCTTTTACCGACTTCGATCAGACAGTTTGTTGAGTTATACACTCTCCCTAGCCCCCAGCCTTGTCGTCGGAGAATTGTTCTCAGAAGATAAGGCTCTTGGATCTTTGACCTGCCTCGGTTGAACAAGCACTGATCCTAGCCCCCAGCCGTGAAGTTGAAAAACCCAATTTCCGATTACATGGCTTGGTTAATACGCACGACGAGAACTCTTACACGACCAGGTCTTACATGGTCTTTCATCTCTAAAGGATCCGACAAGGCCTTATCCGCTCTGGGCGTCCCTAGCCAAAGTTCCCTTAGGTTCCTCAGAGGCCTTGTCAAGACGGCGTAAAGGGACATTAGGATAGGTTTCAACGCTATGTGTCTTTGTGGTAAGGGATCTCTGGATAAAACACTTGGCGATATTGTGTACCTGATATCAACTTTGTTGAAGTAGAGGTAATGGGAGAATCGCTACACCTCTAGTCAAGAACCAGGTAGTAGTCGTAACTCAACCACTAGAAGTAAATGTATGAGAGATCGCTACGATTGACTGGTTGAGAACCAATGGGTAGGTGTCTCTCGATCATTTGAAGTCGTGGTACGAGGATCGCTGCGTTATTGCTGTAGTCGTACCTCGACCATCTGAGGTTACGGTGCGAGGGATTGCTACGTACTGGTTCGAGGACCAGTGAACGAGTAGAATTATCTCTCGAACACCAATGGAGGTTGCGGTGCGAGGGATTGCTACGTACCGGTTCGAGGACCAGTGAACGAGTAGAATTATCTCTCGAACACCAATGGAGATTGCTACGTACCGGTTCAAGGACCAGCGAACGAGTAGAATTATCTCTCGAACACCAATGGAGGTTGCGGTGCGAGAGATTGCTACGTACCGGTTCGAGGACCAGCGAACGAGTAGAATCATCTCTCGAACACCAATGGAGGTTGCGGTGCGGAAGATTGCTACATACTGGTTCGAGAACCAGCGAGCGAGTAGAATCTTCTCTCGAACACCAATGGAAGTTGCGGTGCGGGAGATTGCTACGCACTGGTTCGAGAACCAGCGAGCGAGTAGAATCATCTCTCGAACACCAATGGAAGTTGCGGTGCGGGAGATTGCTACGTACTGGTTCGAGAACCAGCGAGCGAGTAGAATCATCTCTCGAACACCAATGGAGGTTTGCGGTGCGGGAGATTGCTACGTACTGGTTCGAGAACTAGCGAGCAAGCAGAATCATCTCTCGAACACCAATGGAAGCGCTAGAGTTGGTTTATTACATGTGTATCTCATGTGGCCAGCATGACTCACACACCCAACCTGTAGCATATCCGGATGTCCGTTCGCAATCATGTCGGGTGATCAAGCCGACAACGTTCACGAGGAATTATCCGTTAACAACCCTTTCTCAAATAGTCCAGCCACGGCCGGTGCTATGAGATAGGTCATCGGTCTTCGTTGGTAGGTTAGGCGCGACGACTCTGCATTTGTCGAGATCGTTCTCGATAATGCGGTGTACTTGACCATAACCTACTCGAGTGCTCAATTGTTTCCTGAAAAATATTTTCTAGAAGACAAGATATATAGCAGATAATATCAAGTATGCACTCAAAAAACTGCATGGATCTTCTAGCATTATCAGGATATAACGAGTAGATTAAATATCAGGCATTATGTAAACCGTAAACAAGCATGATTTATACGGCAGAAAATAGAGCAAGCCCCCAGTGTTAGATCGTAGTCGATTTAACATCGGGGACACCCGCGCAATAGATATTGTATAAAAAACATGCTCTAGGTAAACATAACAAATTATTGATCTGTCAATATTGTATAGATTAAAAAAATAGGTACGATAGATTGTATATAAAATATTACGTACCTTTGTAGATACATGCCGGATGTATCTACGAAATTAGTAGATAAATACATTTGTTTCGTCCGGATAGCATGCACGCATATATAACCGAAGTCATCATGCGCATATGCCATGCGGATAGATGTTGGCTGATCTGTACATGCATGCCTGCAAGTGTTCAGGTTCCATGTATATGCTGCACGCGTACTTAATAGGGCCAAGACTCGGACTCGGTCAACAGTAGTGCATCCGTGCATAAACAGGAAAGAACAAACCAACCAAACATGTGATTAATAGTAATAAGAAAATAGTCCCGATCTATTTAGAAATAGAGTTAAGATTAGAACGGCAAACCTGATCGAACAGTGGCCGTTTTTTTATGACGGAAGCCAGTTCCCCGTGTAGTCGACACGAATCAAAGTCCCGTATCTGACGATATTGAACCATTATCCTTCGCGGCGATGATATCTTGGAGCTTGATTGATCTCGCCGGATCGAATAGTTGATGACGATGATTCCAATCTCGTCGGGAGACATACTCTGGCCGGGTTGGATCTCCCTGGTCCGAAGTCGTCGAGTAGCTTGTTGAAGAATCCATCTCTTGAATCCATCTCGTCGAAATCCTGAAGCACCAAAATCCCCCTACCTGGCGCGCCACTGTCAACGTTTGATGTCGCGATTCCGGTATTTGCACAGTATGGGAATCGTTGGTACTAGGGTGTACGCGAGACTGAGGTAAAAAAGATGGAGACATGGATTTTTATACAGGTTCGGGCTCCTGAATTGTCAGGTAATAACCCTGCATCCTGTTGGCCGAAGCCGGTATTGCTCTTATTCACCATAATCACACCAGTACAATATTTGGGTAGCTTATCTAACTGTTGTCGACTTAGCGGTCTATAGGTCTAACTCGTAATCGACAACAGGGTAGTCTTCCTCCTCGAATCCGTGCCCGGCGAGATCGGAGATAACGCTTTCGTCTCTCCTAACAGTATCCGGAGACACCGTAAGGGACTAGCCGTGCTTATCCCTGAAGTCGATATCCGGCGTCTTATCTTGGCATATGTTGGCTTGTATGTTGATCTTGTGTCTTGATCCGTAGATTGTGGTAGGTGTTGATTAAGGTGGTCGTGTCTTCTCTCTCCTCCTAGGGGGCCTTGTATTTATATCCAATTAAAACTAGGGAAACCAATATGGATATAATCCGAGTAGTCTTGTCGTTTCCATGTAGAACTATGGTTGTCTTTCCTTATCCGGAACTCCTCCTATATCCGCAGGTTGTTTCCGTATAGGACATGGTATGTGGTGGGTCTTGCCAAGATTTAGTCAACTACTGTTAGGTATGTGTTATCCATAACCCTGACATAAATATTATACTATATTTGTTTATAAACTTAGTTAAATTTAAAGTAATTTGACTTTGGCCGAATTCAAAATGACTTATAATATAAAACGGATGGAGTAGTTAAAACTTTTATATATGTATTTTTATGACTTAAATGTCAACATTGAAAAAGAAACTATAACGAAAAAAAGCTATATATGTTGAAGGGTAAAAGATGTGGTCCGGACGTCACATGCATGTAGGATGGGAAAAGCGGGCTGTTGCGCGCGCCCTAAAACAACGGTACACATTACGCAGGTTTTCGAGAGCTTTTTGGAATTTAGAGGGAATCTCATTTTCACTTGTCAGCCAGGAGAACAGTGAGCACCCGTTCTTCAGGAAATCTGGCAATCTCCATGGGTCTCAAACACACATCGAACCTGAAAAGTGCCAGTTGCCAGGTAAGTGTGCCACACATGAAGATGAGGTACAGACTTTGTAGCCTTCTCGAGCTTCCCGTAAAATTAAAGCTCGATTTGGTGCAGTAAGATTCCATCAAAGTAAAGATTAAAGACGCATCAACCCGCATGTTTAGTTTTACGCATTTTCTCGAGTTAAAGATGCCCACTCAAACAAATTAACCAAAGTTTAAAGGTATCGCCTTTTGGTTGGTAAAACAAGCGTGCAAGTGCAACCCACGCCGAATTAGTGCGTTAGCGAACTAGCCCGTCCATTTGAAAAATGTACGATATCCTTTGATTTTTCTTTTAACACTACTATTCGTTTTATTTAAAAATTTAATATAAATATGTAAAAGTATGAGCTAAGATTATATTTTATTTAATGATAAAATAAATTACAATAAAATAAATGATATTTATATAATTTTTTAAATAAGACGATTGATCAAACGTTATACGAAAAGCTAACGGTATCATACATTTCAAAATTGATGGAGCATATATACGATTCATCAAGACGTCCTGGATGGCGAATGCAGTAGTTTTATACGGATCACGATGATTGTACAGGATGAGTGACGTGGTGACCACGTACAGCACTAGAGGCGACACGAGCACGGCGACACGGACAAGGCAAAAAAGTATCCCCTGCCTTTGAAGGCAAAAGGATTATTGGAGGCTGCATATTTTCTCAGTTGAGGATATTGAGAAACATGCTCCCCAACCCTCGACTTCTTTAGTGTTTCACGCAATCAAATCAGCGTACCCACATCACCTGCTGCTCTGACAAAGATCCAAATTATGTTACCCTAATCCGTATATGCAACTCAACGGTATGAAACATATTATACAGTAGTATTTACGAAAAGGAAAAGGCAAAAGAGAGTGTGTCTGACAGCAAGATACTCTCCCCAGTTGCTGTGTGTTCTGGGTACACCAATCTTCTGGTTACTGTATTGTTGTTATCGGATCCAAAAGGTAGTATTCTGCATGTCATCTCTGATACAGTATCATGATGCTTTGGACACCCTTGCCTTCATTTAAGCTTGTTGCCATCTTGGTTCCGTTTAACAAGAGGGTTGGAGCAGGAAAGGTGGAGTTAACGGCCAGCATTGTATCCCTCAGGCTCCGGGATTCCTGTAGTATAAACTTGACATGCTGCTCAGTCCTGGGTAGCTGCAAAATTGTACTACCTCCGTCCCAAAATAAGTGCAGTCGTAAAGAACCGTGTCCGACGTTTGACCGTTCGTCTTATTTGAAAATTTTATGAAAATTTTAAAAAAAATTAGTCACACATAAAGTACTATTCATGTTTTATCATCCAATAACAATAAAAATATTAATCATAAAAAAATTTCAAATAAGACGAATGATCAAAAGTTGAACATGAACAGTGCAAAACTGCACTTATTTTGGGACTGAGGGAGTAGTGCTGTGGCTTGTCAGTTCCACAAAGCATACTACTCGTCCATAAAAAAAATTTGGTCATATGTACGTTTGCAGCTTGCAGGCTTCCATTCCAAAACCTCACTGTCTGCCTATATCTGCATGTTTGGGTGTATGTGATTGCTTCTTTGCAGGACAGAGACAATATGATCTTCCTCGTGTTCTATGTGTTTGTGGTGTTACTAGGAGAGTTCTGCTCCTCTTGCTCTTGTGCTCAGGTTGGTTTCAGTAGTCCACCTCCTACCATGCACAAGCTTTCTTGCATTCATTCCGTACTACTCACTCTTCTGCAATCATGGCTTTATCTTCTTTCTTGATCTCTTCCCAGTGATCTAACATTTCCTTGATGGATGCTTATATTTCAGGTTTATGTGGTCTACATGGGCAAAGGATTGCAAGGCAGCACTGAGAATCGGCATGACATGCTGAGGCTTCATCACCAGATGCTGACAGCTGTTCATGACGGAAGGTTTGGAATGAGTTCATCATCAGCTGTTGATATCTATCAATCTAGCTTCCATACTTGTTCTGTAGCTTGACTAATTGGATGCTTGGTCTCAGCATGGAGAAGGCAGAGGCATCGCATGTCTACACTTACAGCAACGGTTTCCAAGGATTTGCAGCAAAGCTGAACAAACAACAAGCCATGAAATTAGCCAGTAATTTCCTTGTATATGCATGGCTTCTGATGTCTTTAGCATCCTGACACGTGATCCTGGTGTGATGATGACTGAAAGCTAACTCTGCTGCACACTTCTGCAGATATGCCTGGTGTCATCTCAGTGTTCCCAAACACAAAGAGGAGCCTCCACACCACTCATTCATGGGATTTCATGGGCTTGTCCGTCGATGCAGCGGCTGAGCTACCTGAATTGTCAAGCAAGAACCAGGAGAATGTCATTATTGGATTTATTGACACAGGTGTGTTCAGTGTTCATCTCATATTTAGGTTAGCATGGAAGTTTAGCTGTGTTCTTTCCATTCTAAGTATCATCCGACAGAATCCATTTATGATGGGGATCCTCCATCAATTGTTTTAATTTTCTGTTTAGCATAGAAACTGCCAATGATGACAAAGTTGCAAAGATTAGATTGACAGGTTTTTGGCTTGTTGTTAAAGTAGCACATGCATATACTACAGATGGTCTGAAACTCTGAATGCTATTTAGTTTCCATCCTGATCTTGATTTGGATTTTTCAATAACGAGATGTTACGTGATACTCAGCAATTGTACTTCCAGAAGCAATAACATTGGGTAGATAGAAATTCAAGAGTTTTTAATTGACCGGTTATTCACAAAGTTCATATACCTTGTGCCTCTGTTCCCCCCAGGAATATGGCCAGAATCTCCTAGTTTCAGAGATCATGGAATGCCTCCGGTTCCTACAAGATGGAGAGGGCAATGCCAGCGGGGAGAGGCAAACTCACCATCAAATTTCACCTGTAACAGGTAAAGAACATGATACAAAATTTAATCACATTATTCAACATAGATTTCACACATTAATGCATCTGCACTAATATTATAGGAAGATAATAGGAGGTAGGTATTATCTCAGAGGATACCAAACAGAAGAGAGCGGCCAGAGTAGAAGTGCCATCAAGTTCATATCTCCAAGAGATAGCTCAGGGCACGGCAGCCACACTGCCTCAATAGCGGCAGGAAGGTTTGTGAGAAACATGAACTACAGAGGTTTGGGTACAGGAGGAGGCCGGGGAGGAGCACCCATGGCAAGGATTGCTGCCTACAAGACCTGCTGGGACTCGGGATGCTATGATGCTGATATTCTTGCGGCGTTTGATGATGCCATTGCTGATGGCGTCGACATTATCTCAGTGTCTCTAGGGCCAGACTATCCTCAGGGTGGTTACTTCACCGATGCCATATCCATCGGCTCGTTCCATGCAACCAGCAATGGAATACTGGTTGTTTCTTCTGCAGGGAATGCTGGGAGAAAGGGCTCAGCAACTAATCTTGCACCATGGATACTGACAGTTGCTGCAGGAACAACGGATAGATCATTTCCTTCCTATATCAGGCTGGCAAACGGTACCTTGATAATGGTAATTTCTGTTCTTAAATTCAAGTTTCAATCTTAATTTCTAATGAAGTCACAAGAGTTATTTTTCTGAATATTGCGCCTTTCCCTTTATGCAAAGGGTGAGAGCTTGAGCACATACCACATGCACACCTCAGTTAGGACTATTTCAGCTTCCGAAGCCAATGCAAGCTCTTTCACTCCCTACCAATCCAGGTAAAATAAAACGGAAGTATCTGTAAGGAATATCTTGATTTGAGTTGTCAGAAACAGTTCTAAAAAAAAGTTGTAAAAAAACTGAATTTTCTTGTGGCTCTTGCTGCTAGCTTCTGCCTGGACAGCTCTTTAAATAGGACAAAAGCAAGGGGAAAGATTCTCATTTGCCACCGTGCTAAAGGCTCATCGGACTCTCGTGTATCAAAGAGTATGGTAGTGAAGGAAGCTGGTGCCCTTGGAATGATTCTCATTGACGAGATGGAGGATCATGTTGCTAATCACTTTGCTCTTCCTGCTACTGTTGTTGGGAAAGCAACGGGTGACAAAATTCTTTCCTATATCAGTAGTACAAGGTTTTCTGCCAAATATTGCAGTTACTTTCAAAAAGGGTATTTTGCTAGCATGTCAAGTCTTTCTCTAAAGAATATTCTACAGGTGTGGCAGTACGATGATCTTACCAGCGAAGACGATTTTAGGTTCTAGAGATGCTCCCCGGGTGGCGGCCTTCTCTTCAAGAGGCCCAAATTCATTGACACCGGAGATTCTGAAGGTAATCGGAATTGAAAAACGAAGCTACCAGTCAAAAGTTTATTGATGTGTTTACAAGACACTTATGCATTCTGTAGCCAGATATTGCTGCTCCCGGGTTGAACATATTGGCGGCATGGTCTCCTGCTAAGGAGGACAAGCACTTCAACATCCTTTCTGGAACTTCCATGGCGTGCCCCCATGTTACAGGAATAGCTGCTCTTGTCAAAGGTGCATATCCATCATGGTCTCCTTCTGCAATCAAATCAGCAATCATGACAACAGGTACCAATTGATGATATCAGATTCATCAGATAAAGCATAATTGCTAGCATTCTCACAAGTTTCAAATCCTATTTGCAGCAACTGTATTGGGCAATAAACGCAACGCCATAGCCACAGACCCTAATGGAAGAACTGCAACCCCTTTCGATTTCGGATCAGGTTTTGCGGATCCCATCAAAGCTCTTAATCCAGGGATCATCTTTGACGCACATCCTGAAGATTACAAGTCATTCCTATGTTCTATAGGCTATGATGACCACTCCTTACATCTAATAACACAAGATAACAGCAGCTGCACTGACAGAGCTCCATCATCAGCTGCTGCTCTAAATTACCCATCAATTACCATACCAAACCTGAAGAAGAGCTACTCAGTCACTCGAACTATGACGAATGTAGGATTCCGAGGAAGTGCTTACCATGCTTTCGTGTCTGCTCCACTGGGTATCAATGTCACGGTGACTCCAAAAGTTCTAGTCTTCGAGAATTACGGTGCGAAGAAGACTTTCACGGTTAACTTCCATGTGGATGTGCCTCAACGGGATCATGTATTTGGTTCCTTGTTGTGGCATGGAAAGGATGCTCGACTGATGATGCCATTAGTAGTAAAAGTTGATACTGCAGCAAAGGCTTGATCTGATTACCTAGCACCTGCACAGATACTTGATGTACGACTAGCATAGCTTACAGATTAGTTGAGCGATTTACAACTAGTACTCGAAGGAAGAGTTAACCACATCTCTTAGTTTGACCATGGCTAGCTGAAATCTAATGAAACCTCTTCTTCAACAAGATTATTTTCTGATTAGTGTCGATTTGAGCAATGTAAATGTTGAGGATGCAGAAGCTGATGTTGTAGAGTGCGAGTACCGTATGAGGTACCTTTTCCTTTTGAGTTCATCTACATTTTTACATGAACAAATGGACATAGTACAGAACAAACTTATGATGAATCGCTATGCAGTATAAAAAAGGTTAAAAGTGTACACAAGGTCTCCCAAATTCCAGTCACTGTTGACAAGCACTATTTCAACTTTGACCACTAATGATTTTTAAATGGTTAGAATACGATGAACGAGAGCTCGATGCTTATATTTAGGACACAAGTCACACAACACACTTTAATAATACGACATCCTTTATGTATTCATTTTTTTTTTCAGAAAATATACGGGTGGCCAAAATTTAAACATGAATAGATTACTTTCTGAATTAAAACCTTTCCTTTCCCACTCAAGCAATATATAGAGCTTATTTGAACGAATACCCTTTGAACAAAAGAACAATGAAACTGAACTAGACTCTGAACTGTAATTTAGTCAAGGGTAAAAACAAATGTACTATGGTGCCAATCAGAAAGCGGATAGGGGAAAATTAGATAACATCGCATAAGAATTACTGCGGCTACTTGATTAGATCAAGGATTACAGAAAACAAATATACTACCCCAACCTAGGAAAACCTAGGAAATGGATCGGATGATTCTCCGTAAAAAGAAGAAATCGGTGTCGAATGGGACGCACAAAAACCTGGAGGGCTGCCGCCCTTTCCTCCGATCCCATCGAGGAACACCATCCGGATCCGTTAGAGTTGGCGCCATGTAGCGCCTTCCTTCCTTCTCCCGGCGACCACCCCTCTCCGCAGCGGCGGCGCAAGAGCGAGGCACCTCACAGTCCCAGGACGAGACAACGACGCGTGTAGAAGGAAACCACCCGAGCATTGGTTGAGAAGAAAGATAAAAAGAAGCCGTTGTGAAATAAACGGGTTAACAAAAATAGTTTTATGGTATACGGTGAAAATAGATTTAAGAAAAAAAGATTAATTTGTTTTTCAATATTTAAATTTTGGCCGCCGCAGTAATTCTATCGAAGAAAAAGAGAAATGGGGATCTTGTCCCGTTGTAGTTAGAGAAAAGAAATTTAGATAATGGAATGAAATCATAACGATTTGTTACATATATTCCAAAAAGTACGATATTTGCTTGCAGATGCCGCAAGGCCGTGGTTTTAACTCAGGGTAAACCTGTAATTTGTTGCAGCACACGGTGAGCATTTAAATACTATATCCACTTCGTAGAGGAAAGTTCTTCTCCCTTTTCCTAGTCTTTCTCCATCAACCTATACCAACAACAGCTGCTGTCGAGGATATCACTAACTCGGATATAAATATGGCTATATTATAGATTCATTAACTAAAATTGTATGTTCTCTATGTAAGATCTATGTATTACTACATTTACATTCATAATTAAAAGTTGTTATATTTTGAGACGGAGGAGGTATATATTTAAACAAACATCGCACGTCATGAGTTTCGTGTTCCCTCGTTTGTAGATGACCTTGCATAGATGGAGGGTAGGAGATGGAGCAGTAGTGGAGCTTCAAAGGCCAGCTTCATACATCTACCTTACTCTTCATCGAACCATGAGAAAGGTAAGTCCAAACATGAGAGCTCAAATTTGAGGGTGTGAGGCTCAAAGGGCTCAAGGCATGGCAGATTTGGCACCACAATGTTCAAAGCTGAGTAGATATGACAATGCCGCAATTCACTGGTGTAGCCATTGTAGTTGTCCTTGTGCTCGCCACGGCGCCATGTCGCGAGGACGAAGAGAGGAGAGGGAGGAGGAAAGGAGAGAAATCACATGTGGAGCTAATTTGTAAGAAGGATAGCAAATTCATTTCAATTACAACTTTTTCTAAATTTTATAAGACCCACTAATAAAGCACACCCATTTTAAGTGCTACATAGCAAATTTTCCCCATATTAGCAAGTGTATCTTACATACGCATGTAGACATGCCTTAATGGGAAAAAAAAAGGTAAAAATCTGCTTCTTAGGCTGCAACCAGCAGGCCAATCTTCCATGTAATCCATCCAAAGCACTCCCATTCCAAGATCCCATCGGTATTAGCCATTGACATGGATCCATAACCAACCACAATTCAGCAGTGTAACAGTAGCACTGTTCACTGATTGCACCGACCACAATGTGGCTACGTAGGAGTAGCTGGTATAAACGGGGACAGATACATGTCCTTCTGTGCGGTCAAGGGTGTGTAAGGGTGTGTTTAGTTGGGGAAAAGAAAATTTTTGAGTGTCACATTGGACATTTAACCGGATGTCGGAAGAGGTTTTCGAACAATGAAAAAACTAATTTCAGAAGTCGCCTGGAAACCGCGAGACGAATCTTTTGAGACTAATTAAGCCATCATTAGCACATGTGGGTACTGTAGCACTTATGGCTAATCACGGACTAATTAGGCTTAAAAGATTCGTCTCGCGATTTCCCCTATAACTGTGCAATTAGTTTTTCTTTTTATCTATATTTAATGCTTTATGCATGTGTCTAAAGATTCGATGTGATGTTTTTGGAAAAAAAAATTTGGGGAACTAAATGTGAGCAGGGTGTGGACCCCCGTTTTTATAACAGGAATCATTCGTGTAAACAGTACCATTTCCCTGGACCAAGTAGTCTGGTACACACGAATTCATAGCTGAAATACCAAGTGCACATACACGAGTGTCTAGTACGAATTATTACATCATAAGCCCGCAGGCATAGTCTTAAATCATCGGACCGAGTGGTCCGGAATACATTCCAAAAACAGAAGTAGGTAAGGCAGCGGAGTTAAGGCAGCGGCACGCCATTGCCACAGGCAATGACCGTAACTAAGACCTACTGAGCGACATCGTCTTCATCACCCTCCTGGTAGTAAGCGTAGGGATCCTCCGAAGCTTCATCTCCGACCTCTGATTAAGTTTGTATATTGCAAGGGTGAGTACCAACCGTACTCAGCAAGCCACCACAGCAACAATGCATATGACAGGGGTATTCAAAGGATGGCTATGGTTCTTTTGCGCAAAGCAAGTTTTGTAATTCTTTTCACAAGCCTAAGACCTAGCACAGACTGATCAAATTTTAGTACCAGTGTTCATATTAAACAATGACGGTTCTGTCCACCATCTATTGTGATCCCAAGGATAGCTTCCCGCCATTGAGTCGTCATGGTTTTCTGAGGACGTCCACATTCCCGCCTCTCAGGAAGTGGCTCCATCAGTATAGAATTCATCATGCAATATCCCATCCCACACAAGTTAAGAATTTAGAGTCTAGCCAAGTGTAATACATGTCCCGGTGCTCATTAACCACGAGCACGGCTATTCGAATAGATTTGGTTTACTCACACTACAGTGGATGTACACTTTACCCGCACTCCGCGACTGCCCAACACATGAGCCTCGTCCCAACACATGAGACGTATCACGGCAAAGCCTTTCGATAACCTCGCATTGGCAGTACCCGCTCCATGAACTTTACATCCTCATACACTCTAGGCGTACATGGTTTCTAGCAGTGAGAGGAGTTCTAGCGCACCCGGGAAGAAAGGACTCACACATGCATTAAGTTATAATTATGTTTAAATTCTCACATGGCAGTCCTACCGATGGCGACACCATTGTAGACACCCGCCTCGCGGTTCTACCAATGGCTGCCCCACCGTAGAGCCCATGCCTCACACATCAAGAAACCACTATGCATGGATACTGCCTCCGCTCAGCTATCTACTCCACTAGGTCTATACCCATACGAGAAGTGTGGTTGTACGGGGGTCGTTTCATGCTTAACTTCATGGCTCGGTCCTTAATTGACCGGGGACGGTACTAGCCTTTTCCGGATACCACCCAAATCCTCCGTCCGCCCCAGTCGAAAATAGTTGTTTAATTTTATTTCTCCTTTCACAAATCATGTCATCAACATCATGGCAATGTGGCGCTCATGTCTCCACATGCCGCATCTCAATTACCTTCCCAAGCATATAGCATTTGATAAATATGAGTATGCATGATTCTAGAGTGGCATCTCTAAGCATTTGTCATAGTTGACTAGGGACTTATACGTAATCATGGTTACAAGGGAATAAGGGCAAACAATAATTAAGGTATGGCATATTCACAAATAGAATGTTCATTATTGCATGCAATTTTATTTGTAAACAAAATAATTTCGCAATTGGGATTAACATGTTCAAATAATAGTGATGACTTGCCTTGCTCAAAATCTTGCGGGTCTTGGCCTTCACTTGGATCCGCAACTCCCTCGGGCTCTATAGTTACGTGCGAAAATTAATTTGAATTCGGTTAGAATTCAAATAAAATCCAAGTAAATCCAAATGGAAGTCGAATGCGAAATTCGATTCTTTTATATTAAATTTACTATTCGCGAACTAGGGCAAACCCAATTTCGATCTATATATCCTAAACTATTTTGCGGGTATAAATATTTTGTTATCATAAGTTTTTAATTTAATCTACCCGAGCATTATATTCATATAATAGGTTAGAAATTTCTATCGCGAGCTAAATATCGGACGGAATCCTAAAATTATCTTATAATATTATACGATTTAATTTAGTCTATGACTAAACGATTAAATATAATATACGTCTAAAATTCCTAGTGATTAAATCCAAATTTCTACCGTGAATCGATTACTTATAGAGATTACCCAAAAATAATCTATAATAGTCTATAAGAATTCATCTAATTGTTTAGTTATTAATTACATCTAAATTACTACCGCGGATTGATTTCTTATGGAAATTACCAAGAATAATCTATAATTTATATTAAATTTTTCAATTCTATGACTATAATTAATCTATAATTAAATTCTAATTATTTTAAATTTTCTAAACTATTAACCTCCCTATTCTATTTCCCTTTTCTTTTTTTTTCTTTTCTCTCCCTCTCTTTCTTTTTTCTCTCTTTCTTCTTTTCTCTCTTTCTCTCCCTCCCGGCTTCTTCTCCCTTCTCTCTCTCGGCTCTCTGGCGACGGCAGCCGAACAAGGGAAGGGGGCGGCGACGGCAGCATGACGACGGCGCACGGCGCGGCGGCACGAAGGCGGCGGTGCGGCGGCGCGAGGGCGGCGCGACGACGGCGCACGGCGCGGCGGCACGAAGGCGGTGGTGCAGTGGCGCGAGGGCGGCGGCGCGGCGGCACGAAGGCGGTGGCTCGGTGGAGAGGGAAGAGGGGAGGAAGAGGGAGATGGAGTGGGGGAGATGGAGAGGGGGGAAGTATTTATAGGGAAAAGGGGGAGAAGGAGAGGGGAGGGCGGCGGCTTATGGCGACGCGACGGGCAAGCGACGCGCGGGCTCGAGGCGCGGGGCGACGGCGCGCGGCGGCAGGCGGCGATGGCGACACGCGCGCGGCGACGGGACGGGCGGCGGGCGCGCGGCGCGAGGCGACGGGATGGCAGCGCGGTGCGGCAGCGGCGAAGCGACGGCGCACGGCGCGTGGGGCGCGAGGCGCGGTGACACGACGGCGACGGCGACAGTGGCGATGGCGACGGCGACGGCGCGGGGCGACGACGCGGTGGGCGGCGGCGCGGGGCGGCGACGCGGGGCGGCGGCGACGCGGGCTCAAGGCCGGCTAGGGCGCAGAGGTGGGAGAGGAGGGGAAAGGCTAGGGACCGCATCGAACACCTACGCCATAATGAACAGTGTATTTTCCTATTTATCCCGATTTTAGTTTATTTCCTATATAAATTTGATTCTATAATTTCTAAATCTTGCATAAATGAAGTTTACTCATTATGTGTAATATCCCAACCAATGGATCTACTCTAGATTAATCGTACCCATATTTTATTTTTATATCATTTACTTGATTTTAATTAGAGTTAATTCTCATCCCGTCGTATTTAGATTTAATTAATACGAATATGATC